TTCCGGACACTCAAGAAGAAACCCCAGGACACCTTCACTGAATGGGGACATCAGTTACAACACGCTGCCCACAGCTGGGTCCGAGGGTGTCAGATCACCAAGCTAGAGGAACTGTTACAACTGCTGTTACTGGAGCAGTTTTACAATGGACTTCCAGGGGATGTTGGACATTGGGTCTGGGACAAACACCCCCTAACTTTAGCCGATGTTAGTTGCTGGGCAGATGGGTACCAGGACAACAACAGGAGGCTAACCGAGCCCGCCATTCTGCCTGCACCTCGTCCACAACCAGTGGTGCCCACTCCGGTCACCCGAGAATGCCTCAGACCACCCACACCTTCTGACCCAAAGCGGTCTGGCCCACGCTGTTATGGCTGCAACCAAACAGGGCACATCCGCATTTATTGCCCCCATGAATCCACCAAGGCCCCTGAGCAGCCAACCCCCTCGGGGCACTTCCAACCAACCCACCACTCCCTATGGCCGAGCCTCTGCCTACTCCCTACAGGACCACCCGAGTGACACCGCCTCTTCATGGAGGAATTTTGCAACCGAGGATGAGGACATCGGGGTCTTTCATGAGGCTAACCCTCTCCAGGCTGCCACCCCGGACAATCGCCGACATCCCCAACAGGTTGTCCATGTTAACGGCCGTCAGGCCCAAGAATTACGGGACACTGGGGCCACACTCACCCTAGTCCAGTGGTGGGCAACCTTTTTTTTTCAACTGAGCCCAATCTCGCCAAAACCACGATTGAAATTTATTTTGAGAGCCACATTTTTAAAACTGAAAATTCATAGGATGGTACACGGTTTTTAGTTTCAATAAGTTTTTATAGTAATTCATCCCCCATATAGTAATTCATCCCCCATAGTAATTCATCCCCCATATAGTAATTCATCCCCCCTATAGTAATTCATCCCCCATATTAATTCATCACTCATATAGTAGTAGTAAGTAAGTAGCAAGTAGTAAGCCAAGTCCCCCCTGTGTCAATTCACTTACCTTTGCTCCGCGCGTTCCTCTCGACGTGTTCCCGCGCCGTTCCGGTCTTCAGGGCGGACTGTGAGAGGAGCCTAGCTCCTCTCACGTTCGTCACGCTGCCCCGCCTACACACATCCTGACAGCCAATCACTGGCTATCAGGATGTGAGTGGCAGAGAGACTGGCCAATCATTGCATTTGAGCGCGCTGCCCTGGCTGCTGTTTTTTTTTTGGATCACGCTGCAGAGTCCCTGCCGCCCGAGAGGAGGGAGGGGAGCGGGCGCCCGGCACACAAGAGCCGCATTAAAGCGTGTAAAGAGCCGCATGTGGCTCGCGAGCCACGGCTTGCCGACCACTGCCCTAGTCTAACCCCAACTGGTAGCAGACTGGGCCAAGACCGGGCAGTCTGTGGCCGTATGGGTAGTGGGAGGCCATGTCTACCGGATTCCTACAGCAAGGCTTCATCTGGATTGGGGGGGCCGGGGCCAGGGACGTTGAAATTGGAGTAATGCAGAACTTGCCAGCTGAGGTGCTCCTTGGAAATAATCTGGGAGTCCTGGTCTTCACATTTGGCACCGAGACCCCTGCTGAAGCTCATCCAGTCACCACTCGCGACCAAGCTAGAAAGCATGCTGCCGCTCCACCTGCCGAGGTTCCGGTAAGAGTCGCGTACCCACCCCCTGCTGAGCTTGTCCCTGCCCTGACCTGGGATTCCCCCGCTGATTTCGCTAAAGAAACCGCCAGGGACCGGACCTTAGACCCCTATAGACAGAGGGCTGGAAGTGATCCTGGGGGATTGGTAGATGTGAGGTATGAGTGGGACCAGGGCAAGTTGTACAGGGTCCACGGGGGAGCAGGGGTGGGCGCTGCCCAAATAGCTCACCGGCAGATGGTAGTACTGAGGAAGTATCGGCGTGACCTCCTCCAGATTGCGCATGATATTCCCCTTGCTGGGCATTTGGGCAAGCGACGGACCCTGCATCGCTTAACCCAGAGTTTCTTCTGGCCAGGACTATCGGGGGACGTTCGGGACTACTGTCGGTCCTGTGAGGTCTGCCAGAAGGTAGGGAAGCAGGGAGACAGGCCCAGGGCCACTGAGGCCCCTACCCATAGTCGGGGAACCTTTCAGTCGTATCGCCGTGGACCTAGTGAGGCCCCTGAAACGGCCTAGTCCCACAGGCAAGAAGTATATCTTGACCATTGTCGACTACGCCACCCTGTACCCGGAGGCCATAGCGCTGAGAGATGTGCAGGCAGAAACAGTTGCTCAAGCCCTGCTGCAGATCTTTACTCGGGTAGGATTTCCGCGGGAGATCCTGACCGACCAAGGCACGCAGTTCATGACCGAGCTTACCCAACAACTTTGGAAGTTGTGTGGGATCAGACCGCTGTACAGCTCTCCCTACCACCCCCAGACCAATGGGCTCTGCGAACAGTTTAACGGTACGCTGAAACAGCTCCTCTGAACGTTCACCATGTCCCATAAGGACTGGGGAGCGGCATCTTCCCCACCTCCTGTTCGCCTACAGAGAGGTACCGCAGGAGTCCACTGGGTTCTCTCCCTTCGAGCTGCTGTGCAGCCGGAGGGTTCGGGGATCCCTGGATCTCCTACGCGAACACTGGGAGGGAGCAGTGGCCGAGGAGGGGACCTCGGTGGTGGCCTATGTGCTGGAGCTCAGGGAGAGGCTACAACAGTTGACGACCTTAGTACGAGACAACCTTAGGCCGCCCAGAGCAGACAGAAACAGTGGCCGAGACCGAACGTTTCACTTAGGACAGAAAATGTTGGCCTTGAAACCATTCAGGCATGACAAATTACAGGCTGCCTGGCAGGGCCCATACCAAGTGTTGGGGCAACTCTGTGATACCACGTACATTGTAGCTCGCTGTTCGGATGGAAGGATCCAGCGAACCTTCCATGTGAATATGCTGAAACCGTTCATCGAGCGACAGGAGGATAGTGTAGCTGCTATTTGCGCTCCGGCTACCGATGACTCAGAAACGCTTCTTCTGCCGGGGGGGACGGACAGTCCCAGCTGAGTGTAGCGGATGTAGATATTAGCACACGGCTGCCTCCCAAGACCCAGGAACAGGCACGCCAACTGCTCCAAGAGCACCAAGGGCTGTTCTCGTCTCTGCCCGGTTACACCACCACAACTGGCCACCGGGTAGACACGTAGGGTCAGGCCCCCCTGAAGCAGGCGGCCTACCGAGTGCCCGAGTCCATCAGAGAAGGGATGAGAAGAGAGATTAAGAAAATGTTAGATTTAGGTGTGATAGAACCCTCTGACAGTCCCTGGGCCTTCCCAGTAGTCCTGGTACCCAAGAAGGATGGAACCATCCGGTTCTGTCTGGACTACTGCAGGCTCAATAACCGGACCGTGACCGATGCATACCCCATGCCCCGGATAAATGAGCTGCTGGACCGGATGGCCAGAGGTAATTTTCTTACCACTATCGATCTCTGCAAGGGGTACTGGCAGATTCCACTGGATGTGGACGCGTTACCAAAGTCGGCATTCATCACCCCTTTCGGCTTGTACCAGTCCAGGGTCATGCCGTTTGGGATGAAAAATGCCCCGGCTACCTTTCAGAGAATCTGCCCCGACAGGTTGTGTGGTCCCAGAGTGTGAAACGGCATTCCAAAAGCTCAAACATGATCTGATCCATGCTCCCGTTTTGGCTGCTCCTGACCCTTCCAAACGGTTTTGTGTTTACACCGATGCCTCCACCTTTGGATTGGGGCGCTGTTCTGTGCTAAATCGGGGACGACGGGAATGACCATCCAGTGCCTACCTAAGTAGAAAGTTGTTACCCCGGGAGGTAGCCTACACTGCTGTGGAGAAAGAGTGTCTTGCCTTGGTATGGGCCCTCAAGAAATTGCAGCCCTACCTGTACAGGCGCTCCTTCACTGTACTCACTGATCAAAACCCCCTGGTATGGCTAAACCGGGTCTCTGGGGACAATGGTCGTCTGCTGCGGTGGAGCTTGGCCCTCCAACCCTATAACTTTACAATCCAGTACCGACCGGGGAAGCAAAACGCCAACGCGGATGGGTTGTCCCGGCAAGCCGACTTGGAGAAGTGACCCTCTGAACCGACCAGCCCCAAGCGGATCCGTTTGAAGGTCTCGCTGAGTCTGGTGGGTGTTATACAACGGGGGAGCCTTGTAAGAAACTGTCCCTGTGTGATAACATTTTGCCCTTTCTGTTCTGTTTTTATCCCCTTTGTAAAGCTGTATGTTTTTAATCAACTAAAGCACATGAAGGCTCCAATACTAGCAGCTTGCTATAATTTCGCCATAATAAGGAGTGATTATATGAATAAATCTAAATCTGCATATACATTTCTTACAATGCATGTACTAGTTTTGATTACACAGTATTTGTAAATATATGCATATGCATGCGGCCATATACTGTGACAACCCTGAGTGTGTTATACGCATATGCATGCGGCATATACTGTGACAACCCTGAGTGTGTTATACGCATATGCATGCGGCCATATACTGTGACAACCCTGAGTGTGTTATATAGGATTTGTATTGCCAGATGTGCAAGATGGGCATAAACAGGTGCTTTAGAACAATGACAGGAGCCTTAAGCCATACAAATTTACATTTGTTTTACAATGTTAATTGCATTTAGAAATCCAAATTTGCTGTGCCACAAATGATTTCTCCTTAACAGTGTTGTGACAGTAAAAAGAATTCTGTGAGGCTTGTTTTCTTGTTAATTACTGTTATACTTTAAATACAGAATGAATATTTAAAAAGCTTCAGAATTCAGAGTGTCAGCATCTAATTTCCAGGCAATTTACAACAGTTCAAAGTTCAATTTCCATTCACAGGGATCCTTGCTCCTCCCCGTGATGTCAGCACTTCCTGGTCACAGCCTGCAACACAAATCCTGGCAGTGGTTTTGCAATCTCATTCTTTACAAGGTAGGAAATTCAAGTGTGCGTGTGTGAGAACATTACAAGCTCATTGTATCATATCGCTGTCCTGCAAGCAACATGGAGCCTATTAACTCTTCACACTACCCAGCCTCGAGAGCAGCAAATGTAGCAGAGAACTACATCAACTACAAGATGGGGACTCCGCACCAACTTTTTGAACGGCAACAGGTGACAAGTGCAAGCAAAGAGGTGAGCATAACAGAGCTGAATCAAATATCCACTGTTTATAGTGTGTGGCCTTGGCAATGAAATACAAAACCAGCAATTACTTTAAATTGTACATACTAAGAAAAGACTGAGTGCAATAGATTATACCTTTATGTAAAGAAAAGAGATTCTCCTACTCCCATAGAGGAAGGTTGGATTTTAGGAAACTGATGAATGCCAAGACAACAAGATTACATACATTTTGATATCGGCAAAAGGTGTGGTTACTTGCAGTATCACTGTCATTTGTGCCCTGGCCATTTCTAAGCAAGCTGATGCAGTTCTCTAGCTAAGGTGTGCCCACAGTTTACAAATCTGAATACAGCTTACATTTACTAATCTTTGTGAACGGAGTGCATGGGCCCAAAGAAAAAAAAAAACTGCATTCAGATCCAATAAAAAAATGGTAGGAATGAAAACAGTGCTTTTTTGTGGCTGTGCGTGTAAGCCTTAAGACTGTGCACATGGCTGTAAGAGTTTTACTGATCATATAAGCATGGTTTTAGTGTCGCAAATGTTCCTGCGTAAACAAACAGTAAAATGTTTGCATTTAGATGTGTTAAAATGCTCAAGGACGTGTTTAAATGTGTAAAATTTGCATAACCCTTTAGTTCTGCTTGGTTTTCAATCTAAGGATACACTTTTTGCATCTATGTATACGCATATACATGCATTTACACACTTATGCAGGTATAATGTATGTCCTCAGATGCATATTTTCCGGTACAGATCTGAACGTAGAGAGAGTATGTTTACGCACTTGTGTGCATGTCCCTAATTGAAAGCAATACACCTGCATTCAGATCCCCAAACCAAAAACACAGGCTTATTATATAAAGAGATGTCAAAAAAGGCCAGACATATGCAGAAAGATTCATGAGGTGCATTGATAAACAGCTGTATATCCCTATGTTGGCAATCCTATGGATTAGAGTGGGTACATAATTCCAGAGTTACCTAAAAGGTCATGGCCAAAATTAAGCCAAGAAACACATGCAGTAAACACACCTACCTTCCTAACGCTTTAGCCTTTCATTCAAACATAGCTTTTGTCAGATATCTGCTGATATGGGAACCCTCTCTATCTTACTTGTCTTTATTAGGAGGATGATGCACCAAATGCAACCACTGTATGTTTTTATTACGTCTCTAATATACAGAAAGCTGGCTCAGATAGTCCGTATTAAGACATTTGTAACTTGGCTGCAGTGGTTTGCATAGCACTGAGATTAGGATAAAGTGAGTAACATTTGAGATTTTAACATAGCTGCCTTGAAAGCATTATCAGAAGATTTCATGATTTGCCTGGAATTGTTCTTGTAGGCCCCATTCACACTTGCAAATGGGGCTGCTACCAAATACATTCTGGAGATCTAGAGTGGGTTCCAGGCGATTAGCTGCGGGCAGCAGCCCCAAAGAAAGTAATGGGGGGGGGGGGGGGCTGATAGATCCCACAGCTAAACATGACCGTTCAAATGTAAATACTCATGGAGCAATTATCTGAGACCGTGTCCAGGTCCAATTATCACAGATTAGTCATTCCATGAGCAATTGCATATGATCGGTCACAATTTCATGCAAGAGCTTCAGCCTCCCTCTACTTTCAATTGGGCTGCCACCCGCAGCTAATCATTGGGAAACCCATATGTGAATCAGTCCATGAATGCAGGTATACATACATGTAGGTATGGATGTACACATCTGGATGTAGGTGGTCTGCATCCTGGGGCGTATATCTGTACCTGTAAGCATGTATATGCTCAGACCTGGGTTTACCTGTGTACAGTCACATCTGGTCACTGATTTGCATAGGCAGTGCACAACACCTGTGAATCCCAGGCACAGAAGTATGTCTGCATTTTTTACAGTATGCATAAGCCATTATTAAAGTCATTAGAAGCAGATATGAAATATACTACAGTTTCTGAACTAGTAAACCTGAGTATTGTGGAATTGAATTTTGAATGCACTTGAAGTAAACTGCCCATCCCACACAGACCTTTTTGCTGGTTAAAGAAAAAAAAGGAAAAGTCTGATTTCTGCAATTATGATATGCCCCCATGAGAGCCCTAAGCTGGCCATGCACTGACAGATCCCTTCATCCCAGAAACACAGTGAGTATGGACAAATCTTCTACTGTGGATATTGTATTTTGACAGCTGACTCAGTTGGCTGTCGAAAATACCTGAATAGCGGCTGCATCTGATTGGATGCAGCCACTATTTGGCCAAACATTTTCCAGTAGGTTCATTCAACAAAAGTCGATTCAATTATTAGATCAACTTTTGTCGACATCCCATCCACTGAGCAAATTTCTACCAGTTTATCAGAAACCTGACAAAATTAACAGTTAATGACCATTCCTATAGCTGTCTGGAGTGAAACTGGCATTTAATGGATTGTAGCACCTTCTAGAGGTCTGAGATAATCTTTGGCTAGTTCTATTAAACTAGTTTTCTCTGTACGTATATACCTCACTGTTGGTACTCTCATTGTTTTACATATTACCCACACTTGCTGAGGCACCTAGATCGTGGTAAGTGACAAACATATACAATTGATACCTCTATTTTTATTAAGATTTTAGGAGCAGATTTTAAAATACCGGTAGGTCCCTAACAAAAATTACTAAGATAAGTGAATATGTGCTCATGAACCCCTGATTATTATCCTTCAAGGAACTAAAGTGACATTTGTCTCTTTTTAGCATTTTTTAACACTTTGGTCACTGAAATGCAAAAAGAAAAGTATTAAATTTACTTTTGTTAAGGTACTCCTAAAACTGACCATAGATCTGGCTGGTTCAGCAGGGACTTCCAAGATTCAGATCCATCAATGGGCAGGTTGGTTGTAACAAAGTTGATCCATCATTTGACTAGGGTACAACCAGCCTGTCGGATATTTACATGCAATTACTGCTGGCAGCTACAGCAATAGTGCAGTGGGAGGGATTCCCTCATCAACACTGACTGTGTTGATGGGGGACTTGAGCAATATTCTTTCCTTCCACCTGTGAAAATAGCATCATTTATGGCCTGCCTAACTATTCAGATCCCAAAAGAACGTAATGGAATTTAAATGTAGAAAAAATTAAAAGGAGGGTTTTGAAGATAGTGTGTGTGTTTGAGATAATCAGGATGTTCGATTTATTTTACAGAGCATTGCTGGAGTGGGTAATAAATATCACCTGACATTTTCCATAAAAGATACTCTAAATAAGGTATGTGCATGTTTATTTTAGACTAGCAATACTGTGCTTGTTTGTTAAACAAATTTAAGTCTAGACTGTTTCACCCCTTTCCAATCCAAGCCATTTTTCAGCACTGTCACACTTAGAAATACTATTACCCAACCATTCAACACTCTGCCCAAATGATTTTGTCTTTTTTCTTTTTTTTTTAAACATGTGGAGCTTTCTTTTGGCAGTATCTTATCACCACTGAGGTTTTTTTTTTTTGATAGATAGATGAAAAAATACCAAAAATTTTGGGAAAGGGGAAAAAAAAAGAAAAACTTTAACTGCTTCAGCTCGGCCCCATAGCAGAAATACTGCTACAGGGTGGCAGCTGTGCGCAAAATCACACATGTATATATGTGATTTTGCATTTCCGGGTAAGGGGCGTGCAAAGCAGTGTGCTTACAGTTAAGCACAAACACAGAACATAATGTAAAACGGCACAAATATTTATATTTCAAGGATTGACCAATCCTTCGTTCTTACTGCCTCATTTCTAGAGGCCCTAAAATGTAAGGTCAGTACAAATACCACCAAAATGACTCCTTTTTGGAAAGCAGATACTGAGTTACTTGGTAAGAGGCATTGTGAGTTTTTGAAGTTGTAATTTTTTTCCAAAGTTCTTTAGAAATTGATAAAAGTAATTTTTTTTCACTAAGTTGTCATTTTAAGAAGCTAAAGTGGTTCTAAAGGCTAAAGGTTTTTTACCTTAATGCATTCTTGCATTATGGTAAAAAACCTTCTACAATCAGCTCCCCCCAGCCTCCCCCTCCCTAAATGATACTTTCAGGCAAAGCACTGGATCAAGATCGGGCTCAGATAAGTATTGCTATTTGCTTCTGCTGTAGCCAATCAAATATTGTGAGCAGGGGGGGGGGGCTAAGCAGTGCTGTGTGGAGAAGCTGAGAACACTGACGGGGGACACAAGACACGTTTTCTGCAAAACAATTGCACACAGCAGGTAAGTATAACATGTTTGAACAATTGCTTGACAATCTCTTTAAATATCACACACAGCATAAACATACTTACAATTGCACTCAAATACACATTGTGCTACTCCTAACAAGTATGGTAATACCACGTGTGAGACATTTTTACAGCCTAGCCACATAGAGGGGCCAAAAAAAACCAAAGAGCACCTTCAGGAACTCTAGGGGCATAAATTACACATTTATTTCCTGACTACCTATCACATCTCTGTAGTCCCTGGAGCACCAGGATAGTGGAAACACACACACAGTGACCATATTTTCGAAAAGAAAACACCCCAAGGTATTTATCAAGAGGCATAATGAGCTTTTGGAAATGGCATTTTTTTTTACCACAAGTATTTGGAAAATGTGGAAAGAAAATGAAAATTATTTTTTTTTTTTTTACACAGAATTATCAATTTGTAATATATTTCTAGCACACAGAATAGGCATACTTAGAAATACACCTCAATACACATTCTGCTACTTCTCCTGAGTATGGGGATACCACATGTGTGAGACGTTTTCTCAGTCTAGCCGCATAGAGGGGCCCAACATCCAATAAGCACATTCAAGCATTCCAGAGTTTGGTTTAAATTACACATCTAATTTCCTATCACATTTTTGGAGGTGCAAGCACCCACAAAATGATCACATTTTGGAAAGCAAACACTCCAATGCATTTTCTAAGAAGCAGACAGAGTCTTTTGAAAAAAAATGTAATTTTTTTTTGCCACAAATCTTTTGTAAAATTTTGAAAGAAAACGAAAATGTATTTGTCAAGTTGTCAATTTAAAGCATATTTCTAACATACAGCATAAACATACTTAGAATTATGCCCTGAAATACATTCTACTACTTCTTACAAGCTTGGGGATACCACATGTGTTAGACTTTTTCATAGCCTAGATGCATAGGAGGGGCCCAACATCCGAAGAGCATCTTAAGGAACACCTAATTTCCTGACTACCTATCACATTTTTGAAGGCCCTAGAGCACCAGGACAGTGGAAACACCTATAACATGACCACATTTTGGAAAGTACTTACCCCTAAGTATTTTCTAAAAGCTATAGCAAGTCTTATGGAAATGTAGTTTCTTTGCCACACGTTTTTGGAAAATGTGGAAAATAAATATGAAAATGTAATTTCTTTTAACGCAAAGTTGCCAATAAGATATTTCTAACACACAGCCCTTCTGATTGGATCAAATTTTAGCAGAGGCTACAGTTTGCTGCAGATAAAGGTGGCAAAAAGATGCAGACAGGTGTAAAAGTTGTCCACATAGCGCTGGCACCCTTGATGGAATAGGGGGTGATACAAGGTCCCACAAAAGTTCACTACTGGTCACCATATAGGTTGGGCATCAAGGGGGCACAGCTAGTGTTCTTTTCCATCATAAACCTGGAAGTTATCAAAATACCCTTTGGCCCTCTCACAAAGTTTGTATAACTTCACCCCGTATCTAGTCCAATTACTTGGGATATACAGTGCATTCATAAAGTATTTAGACCCCTTCACTTGCTTCAACTTTGTTATGTTGTAGCCTGATACTACAGTTGCTTACATTAATTTTTCTCATTAATCTACACTCCGTACCACATAATGACAAAGTGAAAACAGAATTTTAGAAATGTCTTCAAATGTATGAAAAAGGAGAAACTGAAATATAACATTGGTATGAGCATTCAGACCCTTATCAATAACACTTGATGAGATGTTTCTGCACCTTGATTGGAGTCCACCTGTGGTACATTAAATTGATTGGGGAAGATTTGGAAAGGCACACACCTCTTTCTCAAAGGTCTCATAGCTGAAAATGCATATGGTATCAGAGCAAAAACCACTGCCTGCAGAGCTCAAAGACAGGCTTGTTAAGAGGCACCGATCTGGGGAAGGCTACAAAATTATTTTTGCTGCACTGGAGGTTCCCAAGAGCAAAATGGCCTCATAATTCTTAAATGGAAGATGTTTGGCACAACCAGGTCTCTTCCAAGAGCTGGTCACCAGTCAAACTGAGCAATGGGGTGAGATGGGTCTTCGTAAGAGAGGTGACCAAGAACCCAATGGTCACTCTGATTGCGTTCCAGAGAACCTGCATGGAGACGGGACACAGTTCCAGGAGTACAACCATCACTGCAACCCTCCACCGATCTAGGCTTAAACCTTTTCCACAGCACTCAGGACCTCAGAGTGGGCTGAAGGTTCACCTTCCAACTTGACAAAGAACCTAAACACACAGCTAAGACAACACAGGAGTGGCTTAGGGACAACTCTCTGTCCTAGGGTGACCCAGCCACAGCCCTGACTTGAACCCTATTGAACATCTCTGGAGAGACCTAAAAATGGCTCTAAACTGACAGTCCCTGATACAACCTGACTGAGCATGAGAGGATTTGCAAAAAATGGCCAAAAATCCCCCAATCCAGGTGTGCAAAGCTTGATGCGTCATACCCAAAAAGACTCAAAGCTGTAATAAAAGTGGTTTCTTTATAACTTCACAGATATTTCTAAAATTCTGATTTCACTTTTTCATTATCGAGTACTGAGTGTAGATTAATGAAAAAAAACTGAATTTAAACAACTGTACTGTAGTATCAGGCTGCAACATAACAAAATTGAAGGGGGTCTAGATACTTTATGATTGCATTGTATTGTTTGATGCCCAGCATGCCTATAAAATGAGGGACTCATCAACACATATATTTGTCAGGGCTATACACTTAAAAAAACATTTGGTTAAAATAGTTGATCAGTGGTCTAATTTTAAAAAGTTTGTCATATTCGGGGTAACTTTGGAGACAGCACAGGAAATTGTCACTGACGTATAGAAATTGCAGCAGGTGCTGACATAATGGAGGAATAGAGTGGCATATGGTGAATGGGGTGTGTGAACCAATAGGACTGCAGTTCATTTTTTTGTTTGTGAGTCCCACATTTAGTGGGAGGAAATAAAACACTTGAAGTTGTTCGCTGATAGGTTTCCGCTCATATGGACAGGCATAAATAGAGCTGGGATTTTTGGTGATATACCTCAGGGCATAAAGATTGCACTGGTCCAGAATTGTATTATTCTGTGAAAAATACATTAAAAAAAAATGAATGGGTATAAAATTTGGGCTTTCTGCCTGAATTTGCTGTAAACGAGGTGTTGCTGAATTTGAAGGTAGCCACACAGGATTTAAAAAAGCGCCTCTGGGACACCAGTAAGGGCCCTAATCCTTGTGGCTGATGTGACACGCCACTACTTCTCAGTTCGCAACTTCTCAGGGATGTATTGCACTGCTAGTGATTGCCTGCTGCTTGTTAGAATGCCCCAATATTTTTGTTGAAACCCTTTACCCCTCTGAATCAATTTCTGAATCGTTGCTGTCCACTGGTTCATGTTTAGAATCTGAGTCTCACGTGAGAGTTCACCGCTACTCTCACCTTTAATGCTCAGACTCTGGAATGTCTCCTCGCTTGTGTACATTTTCTGGACATGGCGTTGAGGTTCTGGTGAAACTGTACTGTCGACACTGGTGTGGCTGTAATCAGGACACTGGTGCTGGTGGATAGTGGTCTGGCATCACTGCAATCAGGGACACTGGCTCTGCGGACATTAGTGTGGTAGTGATCAGGACGCTGGTATGGCGGTGATCAGAACGCTGGTCACTGACAAAGCAGTATGGCTGGCTGTAGTTTTACCCCTGTTGCCAGTAAACTGAAATCTAGCTATTACTATGAGCTATTGCACTTTGCATGTTGTGTTTGTCCATGTATTGCTTTAATTAACCTGTTGCCGCCCATGTAACACACATGTGCAGCAAAAGGGTGGGCTTTAACACGTCACACATATGGATCACTGGGCGACCAATGCTTCTGTGCTGACAGAGTGCTCACTGCATGCTACCAGCACAGAGACTGAGCTGCCAAAAGACAGATCCCGGTACCCACTAACAACTGGGAGCCAGCAAGACCAGCTCCTCATCATGTGACCCACTGTGGCAGCCAGTCACATTATCGCTGATCCTTCTTGCCCCCTGGGTGTTCCGAACCTTCTAAAGGAACACAGGGCAGGTGGGAAGTGGTTATTAAGCACAATTGTGTCTATTGCCGAATTATGACTAACCACGGCTGTATTAGGTATTAGACTGCCCTAAACACATCTGAATCATGGTGCCTATATGTCCAAGCTCTGACCACAGTTATTTTAGTAAAGACTAATCAACTACCAATTAAAGAAAAAAACAAAACAAAATCCTGATGCACTCATGAGTTGTTAATTGTGAGATTATATCTATCTATCTATCTATATACATACACACACACATACATACATAGATACACATACACGTGATTTTGCATTTCCAGGTAAAGGGCACGCACGTGCCCTACCTGCGCCGCCATTTGCGGCAGCGGATGTAAATCACCGGGTCCCGGAGGGTAATTTACACACCGGTGCCCGGTGATTACTGACACACTCACCGACGGGGTGGAAGACTGTTTTGTTTATAAACAGTCTTCCTTTCTGTCAGCTGGAGCACACTGCTCAGGGTGGCTGTGCATAGCACAGCCACCCCGATCACTGTGCTTACAGTAAAGCACACATCCCCTGACCCCTAGTAAAACACTCCCAGCACATAGTTATCCCTTTGATCGCCCCTCACATTAACCCCTTCCTGCCCAGTGCCATTAGTCCAGTCTCAGTGCTTTTATTTTTAGCACTGATCACTCTATTGGTGTCACTGGGGATGTCAGTGACACCAAGTTAGTTCCCCCCCAGTGTCAGAATGTCTGCCAAAGTCCCGCTAAAAGTCGCTGATCACCGCCATTACTAGTAGAAAAAAAAAAATCCCAATATCTATACCGCAATTTGTAAATGCTATAACTTTCATGTAAACCAATTAATTTACACGTATTGGGATTTTTTTTAGCAAAGACATGTCGCAGAATACATTTTGGCCTAAATTTATAACGTAATTAGATTTTATTAATTTTTTTACTGTACAAGTTTAATAGCAAAAAGTCCAAAATATTGTTTTTTTTTCTCAAAAATTGTTTTGTTTTTTTTTATAGCGCAAAAAATAAAAAAACGCACAGGCGTTCAAATACTACTGAAAGAAAGCTCAATTCGTGGTAAAAAAAAAAAAAGGAAGCAAATTTCATTTGGGTGCAGCATTATATGACCGCGCAATTGTCAATTAAAGTAACGCAGCGCCGTAACGCAAAAAGTGGCCTGGTCAGGAAGAGGAGCAAATTCTCAGGAGGGCAAGTGGTTAAAGTTTTGGAATGGCCTAGCCATAGCCCAAACCTGTGGGATGATCTGAAGAGGGCTGTGCACAGGAGATGCCATTGCAATCTGACAGATTTGGAGTGTTTTTGCAAGAAAGAGTGGGCAAATATTACCAAGTCAAGATGTGCCATGCCTGATAGACTCATACCCAAAAAGACTGAGTGCTGTAATAAAATCAAATGGTGCTTCAACAAAGAATTAGTTTAAGGGTGTGCACACTTATGCAACCATATTATTTTAGTTTTTTTATTTTTACTCCCCTCCACCTAAAAGATTTCAGTTTGTTGTTCAACTGAGATGTACAGTTTATAGGTTACATTAAAGGTAGAAAAAGTTCTGAAATGATTTATCTTTGTCTCATTTTTTTTACATTACAAAAACCTGACATTTTAAACAGGGGTGTGTAGACTTTTTATATCTACTGTATATTGGATTTGCAAAAAATAAATATTGTGTGTATTGTTATAACAATGCTGAACTTCTAAAAGGAAAGTGTGTGTTGAGACCATAGAACTCATTTATTTTCTTATCTTTGCAGGAACCTGAAATCAAGAGCACTGCAGAGGTATTGTATTACAGCGACAAGAGCTGCCCTCCTGATGTCAAATTTACCTTACAAACCAAGCCACGGAATTCTACAGCAGCTAAGGACCTTGAATTTTACACAAGAATGATAAACAATAAACAACCGCTAGTAGCTGAAGAGCTTCCAGGTATTTCTTTAAAATATTTTTCTTTAAAATACATAAAATACACCTAACAATTTAACCTAAATAAAAAAAATTAAACATACCCAAGCAGGATGTCTCCAGAGAAAATGAAAGTTAAAATGAGCAGCAGATCCAGTGATATTAGCAGCTGATGATAAATACAACTTCCATTATTTACCTGTAGGGCTATGTTCACACTAGCCTGCAGGGTAAAATACAGAATTTGTACCATGCAAGCTTGGGAAGTGCTAGCCCTGGCAGGGAGCAGCACATTGTGCTGCTTGTTTTTTTCCTTTTATTCCCCAACTACGTGTCACTTCATTTATGTCACTGCACAGCAATACATTGTGTTGCAGTAACATGCAGTGCCATCCAGTTCAGCATGGAATTCTGCATCTTTCTGCACCATACATCACACCAGCAATGCTATGTGAAATGAGGCAGAGCTGCTTTCTATGTGACCTGTGTTCATCCAGTGCAGAAAATTGCAGGTCACCGCACAAAGTGTACATGCGTCCTAAAGGTCACAATTTGCTCCAGACTGTCAGACTTCTATCCTTATTGGTCAATGAGGCTATTACATAAGAGGATCAACTAAGAGGAAGTTAAAGCCAGCCATAGATGGCCAAATTTTGATCATTGTATAAGTCAGGCTTGGCACTGCCCTCTTCAACCTCCAAAGCCCACCATAGAAAGATCATAATTTGTCCAGCTCATCAGGAACCTGCTGGATATTGATTCATCTATGGGCAGGCTGGCAATAATGAAATCGATCAATAGATCGACTTCAGAACAACAAGCTTGCCCACAGATAGCTCAATATACAGCAGGTTCCTGCTGAACCAGATGAATTTCGATCTCTCTATGGTGGGCTTTGGAGGTTGAGGAGGGCAGTGCCAAGCCTGACTTTTACATAAAAACGTGGATTTGGATAGAACACAGCTGCCTTTTATTTCTGAATGTACTAAATGTTGAATCGTATTTTCCGTTTTATGTCCTCATGTGCCTGTGATATAGAAATGAACACAAACAAGTTTATCTGACTAATTTACTTGCAGATAAGTTTGGCAATGTAGCACCAGATATGGAGCCTGTAAGGAATCTGGGGATAGCTGCTGCTGGTTTCGTCAAGTGGAAAAATGCAACAGAAGGGACATTATATTCGATGACAGTCATTAAGAAGGTTGAGCAACAGGTATGTACCACATCCACTGTATATCAAGCAAGCAAAGTGTTAAAGACTGAAGGAAATTGTTGAATAAGACCTCATTTACATTATGGTGCAGAGACAGTCTTTCTGCGTGCATTCTGCAGGGGCACACAGAAAACAATTGTTCTCTATGTCTCCTGTTCACACCACAATAATAGTATCACGTGCAGATTTTTTCTGCGCAGGAATCTGCAAGATGTATAAAACTCACTGAAACAAGCATGCAAACGGTGATGTAAATTCAGGTCTCTTTAAGTGAAATCTGCACGTTTTTTTTCCATCGGTTTTTCTGCAAGCATGGTGTGAACAAGGCCCAAGCCATCAGGCATTTTTGTCAAAACTGAGTTTTGCAACAGCTCTTCAATGTTACTAAAAATGCTCTGTTCACAAATATTTACTACAAAATACATAATTACACGGATCACAAATCCTTTACACTTTGTTAACACCATGTCCATTGAGCTACGTTTTTCGGTACACACCACCACACGTGTATGGTGGTAACAAGGCACACGTAAAACTATTGTTCTATGTCCTGTTCATACAATGTTGAACTTCATTTTTCTGCACACCACTGCACATGTATAGTGTGAACAAGCCCTTAAAGTACCCCTTACTTTTATGTTGGTCCTATAAATGTAAACTTTGTTAAACTGTTAACAGCCGAGTTTGTTTGCAGATGAGAGATGACACCGCGCTGGAATTTCATTACAGTTTACTTATCCATGAAATGGTTACTCAGGTATGTACAGATTAAAAGTAAATGTGTTTTTTTTTTTTTTTTTTTTTTAAACAATCTAAAAAAAGCTGGTTAGATGATGTACATTCCTGTGTTGAAGTGAACCTGACCTTGTCCAATACATTTTTAAAGTTAGAGACCCACCTCTACCATTTAACTGTCAAGTTCCTGAACTTCAGTGGGTAGTAGAATCTCTGGCATTTGACAAGAGTCAAGAGGGGGGAATGCATAGTCTTGACTGGATTCCAGGGGCTCCAATTCGAAGACTAACACAAAAACTTGTAGGCAAGGTGGCCACACATCAATGCTGTCCTTTCTTAAAATGTTTAGGCCAGGTCAGGCTCTCTTCAAAGTGAACTAGTAAAAAAAAAAAAAAAATTTGAGCAATTTAAACCAAGCATATTGTTAATAAAATATATAAATGGAGGTTGCCTACAATGAAAAAAAAAACACATACCAAAACGATCAGTAGACTCAACTCAAGACTCACTAGTCGACTAGCCCCGAGAATTCGAAAGAGATTCAGGAGTCGGGAGCTCTGCTGCAGAGTAAAGTTTTAGGAAATGGGCCAATGTATAAGCATTTATAATAAATGCCGTTCCTTCGGAGCTGTGTGCCATAAAAAGGGACTCCCACGTATATGTGGGAGTGACGTAACCCTGGTTTGGCCATTTAAGCCTCTAGAGCCCATGAACCTGTAAGAAAAACTGGGTGAAGATGGAAGCCCTGTCAGCGGTGACAGGAACTTAGGCTGATTGTTTTGACATGCAGCTTTCACCTCTGTATGTATTTTTTATTAGATTGAATAGCCCATGTTGGAATGGAATTTTAGAACACTCTTCCTGCTGCTATTGCAGCCAGGACTGTGTTTAAAGCAGAGCTCCGGGCTTCGTTATAAGGTAAGTTTTACATAATGTGCCAGTAAGAGATGCATACTAGCATATGATGACATTTCCTTGCAGGGCAAAAGTGTTTTTTTTTTTTTTTTTTGTAACTAGCAGGTTTACTACCACTTTAGGAGACAGGAGGGGTACAGCCAAACACAACTTTTACAGAACAGTTAGGAACTTTGGCTGATAGTTTTGACATGCAGTTTTCACCTCTGTATGTATTATTTTATTAGATTGAATAGCTCAGGTTGCTAATAGGAGCACGTTAGCCACTTGTCTCCCAGTACCATTTCTAAATGAGATTTTGAACACTCTTCCAGCTGCTATTGCAGGCAGGACTGTGTTTAAGGCAGAGCTCCAGACAAAAACATCTTTACATGTCATTGTTGCTGATTTCCTACCTTCACTGAATATGTCATCCATATTCTGGTTCACTCAGTTGCTGCTCTGAAATAGTCTATTCATTTTCAAATCAAAGTATTAATTCTCTTTGGTTTCCTGTAATACAGGTGGCTGCTATGCCTCCAATTCCCCAAGCCACTGGTCTTGCCACATCTCCACTATAGTTCTTCCTCCAGGAAGCAGTGATCCAATTCAGCCCCACTTGCAGTGGTGGGCAGACCAAGACTCTCAGACTCATTCAACATGTACATGCACAGTGTTACCAACCCACATTCACTTCAATTCCCTGCGGTTGATGAGAACTGTAGTTTCCTTTTACTGCAGAGATAGAGGAGAGGTTATGATGTACTCCCTGTTGTTACACCTGCTCCTTGGCAGAGCATATGCTGTTATCTTTTGAATTACAGAGACGAGGTCATGAAATTCAATTAGACCCTACTCCTAAATGGTAAGGATTTTCAATATTTTATCAATGGTTTAAGGTTTTGTGTAGGTGGGGGGGGGGTACTAATGGGTAATTTTGTTTGCCTATCCCGGAGTTCTTCTTTAAATTTGTTCAGCCAGAGATGGCCTTTCTCCAGTGGAAGTGATTTGGGCAGCTCTAAAGCTGCCTGAACACATCCAAAGGCAAATCTGTGCTCCATTAACTTCAGTGGACAGCAGGGAGTACATCAGGCGTTTATAGACTCCATAAAGAGAACCCTAAACTGATAACCTACAAAAGGCTTTATAAGTATTGCCTATAAACAATTTTGGGCACCACAGTTTTGTCAACATTTCACAGACAGATGCAAACAAACTTGACATTTACAAAAATATGGCTAATGCATTGTGCTTGTGTGTTCTAAAATTAACTTCAGTGTATTTTTTCACTGGAAATCTGCATGTCATGAACATGTGCTCCAATATCTTGTGACATAAAAAAGGCTATTATCCTCCAGAGTATCTGCTTTGAGAAAATATAAAATGTTTGGTTTTTTTTTGTCTTTTAGGCCTAAAATGTGCTTTTTAACATGTACGCAAAACCTGAAAAATGGATGTGGTAGAAAAGTGGTTATCTAAAAAGTCAAATTCTGCCTACAATTGAAGGAAATGCCCATATTTGGGCCAAATAGTATCGCTCAGACATGATTCTTTTAACTTAACATCTGCTTAGATAGGAAATATCTCAAATTGTAGATGTGGTTACATGACAAAAAAAAATTGGAAAATGGGCCTTTAGATTTAGCCATGAAACACATCTGGTAATATACAAGTATGGCCCAGCTACAAAACATGTCTGATCAAAAAAAACAACTGTTATAGCGCAAGGGAACCCTTATGTACTGCTTTTACAGATGTATGCGATATTTAGTACAATGTAATACACTGACAAAACTCTGCATTACAGGAAATGATTCCATTCCAAATGGAAGTCACATGGAATCCAACAGAAGGTTTAAAAATAAAAAACCAGAAACGGCTCCCAAAAAGCAATTCAGAAGAAAACTAAAAGGATGGCACTCCAGGAGACTGGATATGATATAAGGAATTTATACTTACGGCACTCTTTGGTTGACAGTCTCCCTAAACGCAACTTTTGGTTTGCCCATAGTGCAAGGACAGGTATATTCTCTCTCCATTCTCTATGGAAACAATACAAAAATGTAAACGAAAAGGGAGCAATAAAAAAGAAAAAAAAAAAAAAAAACAACAACTAGTTGAGCTCTTTGGACGTACTACATACATCCAAATGAGTGAACCACTAAGCACAAGCTGAGCCCTGGATACCATCCAGCCACTTCAGGATAGAGAGCGGGAATAGACCGTGGCACATCCATGCCTCAATCTCCTCTGTACTAAAAGAAACTGGAAGTGATGATGATTTAGTCACTTCTGGTTTCAGAGCTTCTATTTCCAGCCTAGTACAGCCAGGGGAAAATCTAACAGATTATAGCTCTGCTCGGTTAGATTCTGTGAAGGGCAGACGTTGGGGTTTAACTGCTATGTGAAAGCAATAAAGTAAAAAAAAAAATTAATAAAAGAAACTATAACTCTAATTTCCCCACACACTTATGCAAACACACGCTCAAGGTGCACACGTGTATATAAACTGCGACTGTACTACACGTAAGGTGTCCCATTGAATGCTGGAGTGAGAGCAATAATAATTCTAGCACAAGAGTGTACATTTAACTCTAAACTGATGAGCTGTAAAGATTCTTAAAGTGTAAACTATATACATTTTTACATACCATAATTTTATTTTACGATATTATAGGTGCACACAATTTTAAGACTTAACAAGTTTGGTATCCATTTATTCAACACAACCTCATCTTTAATATTTTACCAAAAAACGAGTATTATATTATTTGTGTTTGCACTAAAAAAATCCTTTTACTACATTTTTTTTCCCTGAAAATATGCTTTTGATAAACAGTTCTGCAAATAAAATGTAACATACATAATTGCAATTATCATGTTTTTATTCTTAAGGGTTTCTACTTTCATAAAATATATAATGTTCTGGTGGTTGAAGTAATGTTATAGCAAAATATGAAGATTATTACATGTGTGCAAAAAAATATTTAAGAAAATTGCTCTAATGCTGAACTAGTTAAATAAAGAGGATTTGACCAAGAAGCCTATTTTGGTTATCTTAATTCAAAGTCTTATCTAAAGTTTGTAATAACAATCTGCAGTATACTTATTCAGTGGAAGAGCTAGAGCAGTTTTATACCCCAGAGGAACCCATACTAAAACCAATACATCAGGGGTCAATGCCAAATAAGCCCCTTACATTGGCTGTCAGTAGTAAGAATGCAATCCCCACAGTGGTGGTTCAAACACCACCCTTAAAGGGTAACTCTACTTTTGGTAATATCGTACATAAAGGACCAGTCGGGGTTTATTCCTTCTAGAGCAACGGCTAATAATATTTGCAGATTTTTTTTTAATTTGCAGATTCCGGTGGATAATCCAGGGGGGAGGGCAATTTTATCTTTGGAAGCGGCCAAGGCATTTGATAGTGTGGAATGGCCTTATCTATGGGAAGCATTGTCTAGATTCAGCTTTGGTTTCAAGTTCATTAGTTGGGTGCGTCTTCTCTATGCGGACCCTAGTGCCCGAATCCAGGTTAACGGGGATTTGTCAGATTCATTCAGGCTGCAGAGGAGGACGAGAAAGGGCTGCCCTCTCTCACCCCTATTGTTCGCTTTGGCATTAGAACCTTTGGCGATTTTGGTGCAACAATCTCCGGCCATTGTTGCTTTTACAAGGGGTGGTCTCTTGGAAAAGATATCTTTATGCGGATGACACAATGTTATATTTGGGCAATACTTCCACATCCTTAGATGCTGTTATGTCCCTTATTGAACATTTTGGTAGATTTCCGGCTTTAAAATTAATTGGCATAAATCAGTGTTGATGCTTGTGGAGCCTGTAGATCTCCCGGCCTGGGCACAACACATCCAAGCAGAGTCTACATTTAAGTATTTGGGGGTGGTAGTCTCTCCTGATAGTAAAACAGTATATTTCTCTTAATCTTTTACCTCTACTCCAGCAGCAAAAATTGAAGTGTAACGGTTGGTGCAAACTCCCTCTGTCGGTGGTGGGTAGGGTCAATTTAATTCTCCCATATGGATACCTAAGAAATGGTTTCATCACATAGAGACCCAGTTTAGGAGTCGTATTTGGAAAAAACAGGTGGCTAGGATAAAATTGTCCACGTTGCAATATGGTAAGGAGTCAGGGGGGGGGGGCTGGCGGTTCCTGAGCCTAGACTTTATTTTCTGGCGGCCCAATTGCAGCAACTGGTTGGCTGGGATTCACTTGATAATACTGATCCCATTATAAGTTTGATTTCTCTTCCCAATTCCACCATTTCCATCATTTCTCATCTTGAGATTACTCTACCGTTCCTTCAATCCACGGCTCAAACCGTGGATCTCTTGAGGCGCATCTGGAGTATGGTAAAAGCATCCTTTCATATTACTGGATTTCTTTCCTGTACTCCCTTGTGGAACAATCCGAAATATATAGAACTGGCTAAACTGAAGGGTTTTCACAACTGGAGGGATCGTGGCCTGAAATTCATATCTCAGCTGTATTTGGGGGCAATCCTTTGCACAACTGCAAATGAAATTTATATTTACACATAAGCATTTTTATCGATATCTAAAGCTACGCCATGCGGTACAGGCTCAGTCTTCGCTCTCTAATCTCAAACTGACAGACTCAGTTTTTCTTAAGGATATAACTCAGGCAACCCATAAGAAGGGCATGATTTCTCGTGTATACTCCCAGCTGTTGTCCACAGTACAAGCTAGTCTCCGGAGCAGGGCGCAGTGGTTCCGGGATGTTGGAGAGTTTGCTGGAGAGGTCTGGGATGATGTCCTGGAATCTGTTCCGGTGATTTCTCTTTCTCCCTCTCATAAATTGTCTCAATTGTTTATTCTCCATCGACCATATAGGACCCCTGTGCAACTGTATCCGTGGGGCAGACGTGATTCACCTGATTGTCTGAGGTGTAGGGTCCAACAGGGCGATTTCATTCATATGCTCTGGCGCTACCCCAAGTTATAGATATTTGAGTAAGGTTCGCCAGTTTATTTCTCTAGTATCGCATTATACTGTTCCCCAGGATCCCTTGCAATGTCTGCTGGGGGCACTGGACCAAGAACTGTTCCAACCATGAGTGTATGTTATGGTACCTAGACTTTTATATCTAGCTAGGAAGTTGATACCAAGGTACTGGTTATCGTCGGTTTTGCCGACTAGTAAGCAATGGATAGATTATGCGAATTCTTTACTCCCACGGGAAAAACTCACATAGCAACATCGCAATGCTTATCGTATGTTCCAGCAGGTATGGCAGGGTTGGCTGGATACACCTGGGCTTGCCCCTTCTCAATTGATAGCGGACCGACTTTTGCAGGTGTGATATTTTATATCAGGTGTGTAGCTCCACTCCTCCCCTTAGGGGAGATCATGTGCATCCCCCATTTTTTCTGATGAGATGTCTCAGGTGAACCAGAAGTTGTTGTTGATGTGGTTATTTTTATTGTTTGAAGGCATGTTTTGGGCTTTGTTCCTTTCCTCCATTTATGTTTACATCTGGACAGGAAGGAATACAAGGTAAAAAAAGAAAAAGTAAGGTATTGTCAAGAAAGCTTTTGATCCTTGTGGCCTCTGTTTTGTTTGATTACTATTTCTGTTATTCTGTCCATTATGGGATCTGCGTATCCACATTGTTCCATTTATATGTAATCCTGTTGTAGTAATGTCATTGTGGATTCTGCAAGTACTGTTCCATTTTCTTTATTATCTTGACAATAAAAGTTGTTTGGATTTAGCAAAAAAAAAAAAAAAAATTCTCTTGCAGAAGATTGGCATGCAGTCATCTTTCTGTATCACAACATCTAGCAGTAAGTATCATCCACTCCTCATACCAATCAGTGTGACCCTCATGTAATTAAGTTTACTATATGGTCTTTTCTTCTATTTACTAAACAACATGAATTGTCTCATTGTATTTTAGGGGGATATTTTAAAAGTATTTACCGAACTGAGAATTATTTAGGTATTTCACAGATCAGTGTAAAATTTCATTTGTGGTGTTCAGAATGTAAATATTGCTAAGGGTTACATCACGGATTGCACAAAATGCAGTTTACGATTATATAAGCAGTTAATTGTTGGATTACCTGAGCATAGATCTCCAGGTGCAGCTCTCCCATGCCAGAAACAATGGTTTCCTTGTTCTCATTATCAAAGTGCACTCTGAAAGTTGGGTCTTCTCGCGTAAACCGATTGATACCTTTGGAGAACTTATCCAGATCATTCTGATGGTAATAATAATAATAATAATCACTTCAATCAATCACTTTTTACACTCCATTTTTGTTTACTCAATTGTTTAAAATATATTTTAACTAAAAAAAAAAATAATAATTTTTTTTTTTAGAAGCAAAAAATTAATCCTAAAAAAAAAAAAAAAAATGCGTACACAAAAAAAACACTTTTTAAACTACAAATTGAGACAATAATTTGTCATTTATGCTGAAAAACTCCAAAAAAAATCAAAATTTCACACACTGGATACCTTGCAAACCTTAAAGAGTAAATTCATATATTGTCCTTCCTAAAAATATATATTGGGACAGAACTCCTTGGAGTTTACATAATGTACACATTAAACCAAATTGTAAACTTCTCTTATTTATTTCCCTGTAGTCAGTTAAATAATACCACTGAGAGAAAAAAACACCCATTGATCCTACCAGAAATCCAGTGCTGTTCTGTACACTCCACTGTCTTATCTAAAGCTGGCATATCAGCCCCTGCCACGCTCACCTCTAGAACTACACAACACCTTCCCTTGTAGTATGGGGAGCAAGCAGGGCACGTGTTCTTTAGTTTTACCACTTCCTGTCCCAGGACGACAAATACAGTACGGTGAGTAGACCTTATCATCCAAGACAGGAAGTGTATTACTGGCAGGATCAAACA